GCGTCTTAAAAAACTGCACCTTGACCTCCCTCAACTCCAGCCCAAGGTGTTTAAAGAAGCCTCGGCTGACACCTTCACCCCACTGGATTCCCTGGGGCTGAACAGACAGCCCCCTCAGGGCACAGGCGGCGAGCGCGCGCCCCATGGCAGGCGCCACCCAGCAAGAGCCTGGGCGGGAGAGCCGTCTCCCCAAACTAAGCCCAGGGCCCTGGGCTGGCGGAGACGCCCCTGGAGACCCCCGTTTCCGAAGGCCCGAGGCTCCCGGAGGGGGGTCCCATGAGCGAGCACCTGGACACCCTGGACACGCTCGAGGGGCCGCTCGGAGCTGCTGTGGCCGCCGCCCACCTCCCGGGAGCCCCCGCGGGGACGCGCCTGAGGGCCCGGTCACCGCCGGTCACCGCCAGCCGGGTGGGAGGGCGCCAGCGCCCGGCTGTGGCGGCGGCTTGGTGCGCGGAGGAGGGGCCTGGGCGCGCGGCTGGCGGGCTCGGGCCGCGGTGGCCGGTGCTGAAGGGACAGCGCCGCGGCGGCCATCTTCCCAAACTGGAGCGGCCGCCCCGCCCAGCCCGCGGGGCAGTCGGGTGGTCGGCAAAGACCAGGGTCCCTGCCTGGCCTTAAGTAAGCGGCCGAGCTCCAGGAGGGCAGCCTGCACGGGGGTGGGCCCCGAGGGCGCCGTGGCGGCACGTGGAGCTTGGCCACTGGCCACAGGGCCTCTGGGGAGGAGCCCAGCGCCGGCGCCCCTCAGGAGGGTGCGGGGGTTGGGTGGGCGGGCTGCTGGGGGGCTGTCTGCCCACTGCTGAGCCCTGGCCACTCGCAGTGCCCTTCCAGGTGGCCCTCGCATGCCAGCGCAGGCCCCAAGGATGCACCGTCCCCTCCATGGCTGCGGGACAAGGCTGGCCACCCCCTGTGGGGCGGCCTGACCGGCCCCTGCCAGGAGCAGGGCTGTTGTGGGGGACGCCCGGGCCCTCTTACGGCCGGGCTGGGGTGGCAGCCGGAGTGCAGGGGCCCCTGAGAGCGGGGCGGATCCCTGGGGCTGCCCAGCAGCAGGTCCAGCTCCCTCCTGTGATGCCCATCACTCCCTGCAAGGTCACCCTGCCCACTGGCCAGTATGGCCAGCACGCCATGCTCCTTTGTCCTGGCTGCTGGCGCCAGCACCCCCCTGACCTCTGTCTCCATCATGCCCTGCCACCCCCCAGGGCCCTCTGGGGTCACAGGGCAGGTCCAGGCTCCCTGGGGGGACTTGAAGCTCCGGGAGCCTGGGCACTCTGCAGAGCCTGCGGCTGCCGGCGCCCCCTCCTCTGGGCCCAGGAGGCTCCGTGCACAGCCCGGGCAGTCCGGGGTCCCCTGGCGAGCTGCGCTAAGCGGGAGCCTGTCCAGGGGCTGGGCCTTAAGGAAGCAGGGCCGGGGCCCCTCCTGGCTGAGCTGGGAATCCCGGGGGCAGAGGCAGCGGCCTCTCCGGCCCTGTGGCCTCGGCCTCCAGGGCGGTGGGCACGCGGCCAGCGGCTCTGGACGGGGCGGTCCCCGCTGCCACCCCCTC